TATACATCAGCATTATTCAAGATGTGTCCATGTTTTCAAATACACATTTTTCATAACGTAAAGGTTCCATATTTTTAACAATATTCTGATACTTGGTGACCCATGCACTTTCAGGCTCATTCCCCTCCCATAGAGCAGCACTCTCCTCCTCGAAAGGATCAACATATGTCTGTAACAATTGTTGCAATTGTATTTCTGCATTATCGTCTACCCAGCTAAGACATGCATATTCATTCTTTGTGTGTCCATAAATGTTTAGATATCCTATTCTCTCCCTGAAGTAAGAATTTCTTGTATCTCTTAAGGTTACAGTATCATGACATTCAATTTTTCTTGATTCTTCATTAAGACTCATAAAAACAACAAGATATGGCAGAGGAAAAGGTGTATTATTGCAAATTCCGATTGCCTTAGCAATATTTACCGGCCAATCACTGCTTTTATGTTTTTTTCGATTTTTGATCTGAATGCCAATAAAGGACATGTTGCTATGTTGAACTTCTGTATCATCATCTGGGACCATTGCAATTGGAATAATCAGATCCACTATTTGTTGACCACGTTTGCATAATACTGCTGCCCCACGAAAAAAAAAATTAACAAGCTTTTCCCTACTAGGTGTAGTGTTGGTGTATGCAAAGTGACTAAATCTTATCTTGCTATTGCGGAACATTAAACCATTGAAGGTTTCATTGAGAACCGAATTAATTTTTTCATAATTTCCTTCTCCAATAAATGCATTGAGAAACTCTTCCACTGTGATTGATTGTGAGTGTTTGTTCCATATGTAGTGAAGCCCAGATTTTGATTGAATCACCTTATCAAATGCCATTAAACACAGAATCCGCCCAACAAGTTCACCTTGCTCACCTGCATTGACGATAATATGATTTTTAACTGAATATATTACACCGTCTAAAATTTGTTTCAGGATTCTAGGATGGCTCATGACGTGACTGGCTGCTTCTGCTAATATTGGTTCACTTGGATATGTAGTGATTAGTGATTCACGTTTATCATCTACATGTCGCAGGATTCTCATGTGATGACTAACTAATTTAGATGCTTGTTGTGAAACTCTAGAAATTTCCAAGTAGACTCGTGCTCCAAGAATTGCTAGTGATTGTTCTATTGTTAATTTTATTGATTCAATGTCTTTATTTTCATGGATTTTAGCTGCTTCGTCATGATCACATAGAAGCTTTGCAATAGCAAATTCCACAACATAAACCTCTTCAACATTTGCCCATAAAGGGCGTCCCATATTACGCATCTGTTGTATTGCTGAGGTAATTGTGATTTTGGTATTTTCTGGTTGAGGCATTTGACAATC